CAAGATAGAAAGAGTCATATGCGAAAAAATATCTCAAAATATTCGAAACAATTACTATTCCAATTACAAGTAGCAAGCAGCTGCGATCCGCCACATCGTCATCCCAAAAGGACCGGGAAGGAGAGAGGGAAAGGGTAAGGAGAGAAACGGAAGGGCGGGGACGGTGACAGGGGAGAAAAAAAGAAAAGAAGAAAAAATCCTACTCCAGCTCTATCCTCCAGGTCCAAGGTGCTCCTCTGTCCGCACGGACCATCTCGCCAGATTGTAGGAAGGGTATGGCATGTCCCTGAAGCATTTTTCTGCACCATGCCATCTGGGGCGTCATCAGAGGGGGGGACATCTCCCATGGTCTTTGGAAGGCAGGGGGGTTGAGGGGGGGTGCGTGGGGGTATTTCGAGAGGAGGACGAAGGATGGTCAGGAGGGTGGGGGACCTTCAGGGGGGGAGAGAGGGCCGGGCAGGGGGGACAGAGATCATATGGAGGGGGAGGGGGGAGGGAATAGATGAAATAGAGGAAAGAAAGAAAAGATAAGAAGGCGAGAAAGGATAGAAAAACGTGAGACGATGCTCTTGTGGCAGCCTTGGACTCCATAGTGCTCCTTGTCCGCTCCTATCCAGCGATCACGCCCACCCAGCGAGCAGAGCCAAGGGCAAAGAAAAGGCAGCAGCAGCCAGCAAGCAATAAAACTCCGAAGATGATGGTGCAAGCAATAAGCAGCGCGAAGCTCCTAGATGAGGTATGCAAAAACACTCTTTCCGAGAGGCATGCGATGCACAGCAGAGCCGCTATGGCCACGTTGGGGAGCAGCGCAAAAAACAACAGCAGGCCCAAGTACGCATTGAGCGCCGGCGCGAATGAGCAACTGTGGAGCGGATGAGGTTCGATAGGGCACGTCGCATCCGTCTGCATGGCGTAAGGCCGAGGTGCGATCTGGAAGGAGAAGGGGCCTATACTAGGAGTGTTACCACTTCCTCCTGCCCTCGCTGCTCCTCCTCCTGGTCCCAGTCGCTGAAGAAATCCATGTCGCAAAAAAAGCTACGCTAATCTCTCACAAAGGTCGCGTCGAACCGCGTTCCGCCCGCCGACAGTGCAAGTCATCACACGGTGAATCGATGAATAGCATCGCCTATCGTTAGTCCTAATATAGTAGCTATGTAGCGTGCTTCTAATGAAAGCCAGCTATCCTATCCAACCATCTAATGCATCCATCCGATGGGCGCCAGATGAAGGATCGTGCCAAAAAAAGGGAAAAAAAGGGGAAAAAAAAAAAAAAAAAAAAAAAAAAAAATAGCGTAGTCGCGTCGGCCGACCCCCATCACGCATTAGTCTAAGAGTGAGCTACTCTTAAGGCCTATACGCACCCTTATTCTCGCACCCGCTGTGAGTCCTGGGAACCAGCTCCCTCAGAGGATTGGAGCGTTATCACGGGGGGCC